TTGCTGAATAAAATAATTAATTTCTGACCCATGATGTAAAATTATTCATATTGAGATGTAAGATTTTGGTCATACCATCTACTTTATATCAAAAAGACCAAACCAGGTTAGCAAGCACCCAGTGGACATTTCCATGCACCTGAGGTAACTAACAGTAGCAAGCACGAGAGGATGAAATCCTCTAATATGCCATTAACATGAATGAATAAAAATGGTTCAGCAGGTAGGATTACACACCAACATTACTGCTCCGGCAATCAGTTAAATTACTCAGCGTCAGGATTCAGATCATGAATAAAACTCAGTCCTGTCACATCATCGGCTAAAAAAGCCGCCCAGTAATCCCAGTACAGCCTGTATATATGCAGTACGGAGACACCATGTCCTCTCTACTCCATTTAACACATTCACCATGTTTACATGCATTACACTGAGGTCTGGAGTTTCCCCTAAAATCAACACAAAAATGTGCAAAATTGTTTGGAGATTGTTTTGGAGAAAATAGAAATATTGATTTCTCTGCTATTTTTGTGCAATGAAACAAAGACTGATTGAACAAAAACGCCCGAAACACTAACAGAAATTACAGACCTGTGTTCTTCATCTATGTTAAAATGAATTAAATTGAACCGAACCATACATTCTTATATCCCTTATGATACTGCACATAATTCATTTGATTCATGGTAATGAATTGGTACTTTGCACATCTAAATGCAGTAACATTTTTGGCATCTAAATGCAATACAATTTTTCATCGCATCTTAATGCAATAACATTGTTATTGGTGGGTCTAAATGCAATAACATTTTAAGCATCTAAATACAATAACTTTTTTGCATCTAAACACATTTTTTGCATCTAAATGTAATAACATTATTTGTTGCATCTAGATGCATTAACATTATTTGTATGCAATATCAAATGCAATAACATTATTTGTTGCAACTTTTTTTCTGAAAATGTATATTTGTAATCTTCTGATGTAAAAATATTAACATTATAACTAATAACATCTTGTTAGTGTAGAACACTTGTCCTATATATGCTTAAACGTTTGTCACATAAGTTAAATAAGTTCAAGTGCATTAGGGTGTATTCACACCAGTCTTGTTTGGCTCGACTGAATCGAACTCAAGTTCGTTTCCCCTCTTGGTGCGGATCTTTTGGGCAGGTGTGAATACAGCAATGTGAAAAGCGAACCACACCAAAAAAAAAAAAAACTCAACATTGTATTTGGTCCGGACCAAGGCAAATGAACTAGCGGACTTTCCTGGTGTGAATACAGGTGCATCTCAATAAATTAGAATGTCGTGGAAAAGTTCATTTATTTCAGTAATTCAACTAAAATTTTGAAGAGAAACAATTATTAACACAATGGGTAAGTGATGCAACAAACCAAAGCCTGTCAATACAGCAAAATCACACCTACGACAGCTAAAACCACATTTCGTTCTCTCGTTTGATGCTCCACCAAAACTCATTGACGGCAGCTGCCGTAGCATGTTTTATAAAAGACCAGCGAGTCTGTTTGAGCCATCGGTGTCAGAGAGAATTAGAGCGGAGAGACAGTGTTAACTCCCTGCTGAAGTGGAGGAGGACGGATGAAGAGATGGAGGGGAGATGAAGTCTCTCACACCTCCAGTGTGGTGGCTGTCTGCAGGTGCTCCTCTGCCAGAACTACAGGTGCAGGACTGAGTCACGCAGAGGAACGACAGACAGACCACTTGTAGGAAAATGAATGGAAACTGCATGATACAACGTCCTCAAACAAACAAACTAAGACTTGTAAACATGTACTACATTCATTTATGGGCATAAAATGTCATTCAAGTCATCATTTGGCTCTTAAATCAGTGGAAATGCAGTTCGGGCCTACTACAAAACAAAAGCCTGGGACTAAATTTCTGCTTCAAACCCTGATGAGGTGCAGCTCGGATCAGCAGGATGCTTCACCGAACAGAACAGACGAGGAAAAGCCTCTTACACTCATATACCTAATAAGGGTCTCCTCAGACTGCAAAACAAACCCCCGCCACAGCGAAAAAAAGCAAAAAGACTGGCTTTATCATCGTTAAGCCATCTGCTTTACGCACAGCCATCTTCAGGAGAGATTATGACCATTTGTGTAAAATCCTTATTCACGTCAGCCATTAGGATCTACTGAGTGCTCCTGGGTTTTGCATTTAGCAGGAAATGAGACAAGACAAGCCCTGTTTTACGCACATACACATACCTTTGCGTGATTAAACACGTCAGCTGGAATGAGGCGCAACTTGCAAAAGGGCAATCGTGGGTCCAAAAAAGGTATGTGCACATTTAGTCATTGATGGAACGACTACACAAACACCTCGTTCTTGATTTCAGCCCACGTACAGTATTTACATACAGTTTCTCTTGCGCATCAACGTTTACAGTAGGTGTGGTGGCCATTTCGCATCCTGAATCAATGCCAGCTAGAAATGAGAATTATAAAAAATAACAGAGCGTGCTAAACTGACTGTGAAGGGTACGTCCTAATTGGGCGCAGCGTCTACGGTCTTCAGCCAAATGCACGAAGCAAAGAGCCAAACGGGAGGAGGACTGGCATAACTTGACAGATGACTAAATGCACCAGGGCCCTTATTAAAGTTTCACTGATAAAACACAACACTTGTAAGCGATCAAATATTAAACCCATTCCCATCTATTCTGCAGCACCATTGGCGGCACAACGCATCACTTCCTGGTAATATGCTTCCTCGTTGTGATGACTGAATGTTCTGGATTCAAAATGCATGAACAAACTGACCCTAGTCTAATTACGCATGATTGCATGTTATTATGAGAAAAAAAATTTTTGAATACTTCATCAAAATGTGATTTGTTCCGCTTCTAAAACAAATGTCCTGTTCTGATGACATCACCAATCCCTCGCACTTTACAGCCCCGCCCCCTCTATCCACCTGCCATATAAACCAGCAAATCAAATCCAATTAAAAACACATTATTTTTCTCAATGAATATACTTTTTCATTACATTTCAGATGTAAATGACTTCTCGAAATACTTGATCATGATTGGTCGATCCATTTAGCATTGTTAATGGAGTCGCCATCCACCATTTGCAGAAGCTCAGCAAACACGACAAGTTTTTTGCAGGCCGACTCTGATACTGAGCAGACCTGGCGGAGTGAAAATGTGTCAAGCATGTATAAATCTACAATCGAGGCTGTGATCGGGACGCTTAAAAATGCATGAGTTCTTTTTTTTTGTTCCACTGTCTGCTGCTGCACTCCTAGGGCGTCCTGGAGAGAGAGAGAGAGCGGACACAAGTGCCTCTTTACAAGCCGAACATGATTCACTAGATAACAAAAAACTGATATAAGTGCTATATTTCAGGAGAGTATGAAGAAGAACACAGTGGCTCTGTTCCAAAACCTAGTGAGCTGCCTACCTAGGCAGCATTTGAAGACATCAGATACGCTTCTGACAAGAAGCCTGTTCCAAAAGGTAGCAGCATGATTACTATGCTGATTGTGCTGCGTTATAAGATCTGCGTTAAAGATTTTTGGAACCGAACTATGTTTTACAACAAGCTCAGTGAAAAAGATAATGGATATTATCAACAAATTATTATTATTAACAAATATATATATATATATATATATATATACATACACTATTTTACCCAATATTTGTGAGTGCATATATTTTGTAGTATTTGAGTATCATGGAAATCCTGTGCATTTCATTTGAGGAATGCTAGTTATACAGAGCACTCCGAATCAATCACTTATAAGGTGTCATTACAGTTAAGATGCTGCCTATGCAGACAGTAAACCCCAAGTAAGCTCACTAGATTTTGGAACAGTGCCTGTTTTTGTTTTTGGCAAACTCAAAGCTTCCATTTTTAGATGCTTTGCTTTAAAAAGCCGAACTTTTATCTAAGATGCTTTGCATTTTAGGCCATGCTGGCTTGTGTTTGTTTGTTTCATGGGACTTATTGTCATCTTATCCGAATTGGAGATGGATATAGATCGCTCCTTTGAAAGAGAGGACACCTTTGATCATTTCTTCAGAGACTGGCCTTAATTGTGAGCGGAGGATTGATCTGCTCGGAGGAGGATTGACCTTTAGACTCTGATGGAGCAGTAAGGGTGGTAGTGACCCTCCTCCACGGACAGGTGGAAAACGGAGGAGGGGGAGGTCAAGTTAGGGGTCTCTGAGAAGAGATGAACAGGCAAGTTTTCTCAAGTGACCGCATGAAACCAGTGTGGTCGGTATGGCTCAATTCTTACATTGATCTGGAATGAACGACAGGATCAATGCATCCAAAAAAGCAAGTTTTAGATGTTTTCAACATGTCTAGGACATTTTTAAGGTTGGCAAAACATGAGGAGCCCCACCGCACAAGCAAACTCATCAATGGCTTCAGTTTATATGGGTGCACCAAAGATTATTGTGAATACTGTATATCATTACTGTAGTGCCGAAATGACCTTTAATATGTCAAAGCGTGCCGTTTATGACCCTGATGTGGGAATAGGTCTCTCTACCGCAGATGAAGTCTAATTCATTATTATCAAGCCATATACCATTGCTCTGTTCGTGTCATATTAATAGGTCAAATGTCAATTAAACAAAGCCTGCCTGATTGCCCAAGGGTTTCATGTGCAAGAGGAAAACACAGCTGAATCCTGCTTGCAAATCAATAGCAGGCCAAACGACAACATAAAGATATGAAATGTTTTTCACATAATGAAATACATTTAACAACTCTAGCCCTAATGCCATTGCTGTTCTCGTGTAAATAAACGACATCTCCTTTCACAGGACATCCTGGCACGATGTGTATTATAATATTCTGTTATTTAGGTGGGTGGGTGTTGATTTGCACAACAAATGGGGTTCGCATTGTTCAGTTACGCACACAAACAAACAAACAAACCATCTGACATGTTTCACCGCTCCATATGGTGGAGAAATAAACGCAGTGTGGAACACGAACGCATTTTTACCTGTACGAGATCTGTTTCCTGAACGCCAGACCTTTGAGTTTCTCCTCCAGCGAGTCTTCCATGTTGGCGAAGCTGCTCAGACTGTCGCTGCCGCCCATCGGCGGGTCTCTCCCGCAGCCGCGTGTCTGCTCGTCCGCTGATTCTCCACCGGCGGCTCCTCTGCTGCTGCGCTCCGCCTGAGATGCGCGAATGTTGGCCAGGGGGTCCATCATGCTCCGGTCGGCACTGAGTGGACCCCCTTCTCTCCTCTAGTGCTTAAAAGTCCTTCCAAACGCGTCCTCCAATGTCCCTCATGGGATGAATAATATCTATCTATCTATCTATCTATCTATTCACGATTCACTCACGTTACGCGCACGCACGATCCGCGGAACTACAACAACAGCTGCATCCATCCGCGAGGACATTCTGGGATGTGCCTCCCCATCCTCCTCCAGCATCGGGAATGAATGTAGGGCAGAGGGGTCTCTGACTGGACACGCTAAATGCGCGGTGATCTCCGACGTGTCCGTGATAGAAGCGTCTCCGCTAAGAGAGCGCGAGCGAGACGCGACGCGACGCAGAAGAAGCGTGTTTACGCGAGCGTTTAAACGGGACCTGATTGTGATAACAAACCCTTTGTTCGGTCAGGAACCTCCTGAGATACAGCGGAAAAATAAATAAATACACAAAACATTTTTTAAATAATAAACATAGCTTCTTTAGATTTATGGCGCTTGCATATTTCCTTTAAAAATTGCCGTATTATAACCAGACTGTGGAGGGTTCATTAATATTAAAATTTTTGCCACGCCTCTATAACTTTTGTTACAGCATAGGACAGAAGAGCTAATATTATATTATTATTATTTGGCCACACCCCCAGTATTTGATTTGTCAGAAAAGCCTTGGATGTTAATGTTAATATAATATGATCACATTAAATCATACATTTGTTAGTTCAGTGCCTTTCTTTATGGTTTCACTTGTCCTCAAGTGTTAACTGCTTATTGTAATCCTGCAAAAAAAAAAAAAAAAAACTATGGTATTGTATTATTTTTGTAAAAATATATATATATAAAAAAAATGATGACGTGCAATTAATGTGCATTTTGATATTGATAATGGCAATTTTTGATAATTGATAGCAAATTTTTTTTTTCGCTTGATAGAGAAACGTTTGGGTGAGCAATAAATTAATTTTAACTTTATATCAAATATAAATAAATTACTCTTTTCACAGGACATCCTAGCACGTCCTTTTAAAAATGAGAAAAATAATTCAAAATGGCACATTGAATCTTTTATCAAACTAGAACAAATGCATTTACCCAAAATATCCTAGATATACTGCCGCAATTGAAGAATCACCTCCATATGTCCACAACTGCACATTTATCCAAGGGTTAACATATAATTTTTCCAAGAAGTCATGAGAGTCTAAGAGACCACATGCATTTTTCTTCTAACACAATTTGGCTAATGTGATTTAATGTATGAAGTGCATCATCTGAGCTCTCTGATGTGGAGCAAACACCTTTCTTTTGCATAAAACCCCCTGAGAGGCAGGAAAAATACAATGCAGATCCAGTCATAATGAAAATAATTAATAGTCAAGCAACTAGATGACATAAAAACATCACTCAACATCCTAGTAAGACAACAAATATAAATCAGTCTAATTTAATATAGAGAAAGCCAACATGGATACACAGCAAAACGACAGCTTAGGGCGCCTGATTTACAATGCTTTTACTAAGGAAAATATTTATTTGCTCGCAGAAAAAAACAGGACATAAACAAGGCAGAGTGATTTCAGGAAGAGCCAGAGATTGCATTGTGATGCAATGAAAGTGTAATATAGTTAAGACGTTATGCCAAATACATAAGAAATGCACACCATTTCCGACACGGATGTTGCGTGACAAATGTTTGCATCTGAATGCATCACATCACGACAACACCATCTCCTTCGAAATGCTCGTTTCCAGGATAAAAGGATGGCAGGCATGCTAAAAATAATAAATAACAGATTAATTCTACGAGGACGCGGTGCAAGTGAGTCGCAGATCGCTCGGGACTCGGGTCGTCACAGTCGTTCATATCAGAGCAAGGGAACGCTAGACTTGTCAGCGAGCGTCTTTTACTCCCTCAAGAGTGCAGACGGGGGTTGGATGGTGGCCAGATGAGGACAAAAAGGGCCATCTGTCCTTAATAAAGAGGGCAACGTCATACGAGGGACTTCAGGGACAGAGAGCATCCGTCCCGCTTTCATCGCCCTCAACCGCAAACATCTCCACTGATATCAATCACATCAATTCATATCTCTCCCAACACACTGACAATACAGGATACTGCAAATATTTACATATTCAGACAAATGCTTTGGAAATTCGCCATCTTCAAACTCGCAAACAGAGCTTTTAGTCTATCTAGTCTAATCTGAATACAGTTTGAATCTTTGCACTATTTTTTTAATCTTTGGAACTGTATTTTTATTGACATGCTACATCGTTGTCATGTGAATATGAAAACAGATGCAAATTCAATATATTACTACACATAATCTCAGTAGCATGGGGCAAATAGGTGAAAAAAGGAAAAGAAAGAATATTAAAACAAAAATTCAAGGCATATAAAAAAAGAAAATAGTGTACACGAGTATCAACATTTGATATACTGCTGGAATGGAATAAAAATACATTTGTGAGTTTTTGTGTTTATTTTAAAAAAAGGACATCTAAGTAAAACAATACTATAAATATGAAGCCTATGGCCCGCCTCTGCAGGGATCTCAGGACGTCTCGTTGACGGTCCTCTCCAGCTGTATGACTTTAGTCGTCTCGTTTGACCACTGATCTGACCTGCCAAAACAAAACCCAGTGTTCAGCATCCATGTGTCATCAAATCGAAGCAGCCACAGAAGGACGGTCGTTACCTGTGTGAGTGCAGGTCTATGAGAATGGCCTTTTGCGCTCGTGTTTCATTGGTGTTTAGAATATGTGGGCGGGGCTCTGCTTCACGAAGCTCCGCCTGCTCCTGTTTGTGCTGCTGTTCTAAACGCCAAGCCGCCATTACATCGGCCTGACGGTCCCATTCAGGATAATCCCCGCCCAGCCCGACGGGATGAGGCTCGTCCAGACCCCCATGCTCCGGAAGGGACAACAGGTTCCGGGACCTCACTGTGGAAACAGCTCTTTTATTAGTACAGTAGTGTTTTGTTAAAGCGGTGCATTAACTGAATGATGCGCGTGGGAGAAACGTGATGCGGGCGGATCAGAGATCAGCGATGGCTCTGCTTTTAAAGGCATGATAATTACTGGCCCACTCCAGCACTGATAATGACTCTCAGCAGCTCAAGTGTGGATCCAAATCCAGCCATTCCTCCATTCATTAGTCAACAAGAGACCGAGAATAATGAGCAAATTACAGCAGAGACTGCAATAGACACGAGTGCTGTGTGTATTAGGGTTGGATCAATATGAAAACGTTCAGTATGACAGCGGCTCTAGTACCTCTGCATTAATGCTAAATCCATACTTTAGCAACACATAAACAGCCTCACACGCTTTAATATTGTGCACGGAGGCAGATGAAGACCGACTGCTGAATATGTGTAATAGATTATTATATCATGCAACAGGAACATTTATTAAACCAATAACTGGAATATACAGCGGGGAAAATAAGTATTGAACACGTCACCTTTTTTCTCAGTAAATATATTTCTAAAGGTGCTGTTGACTTGAAATTTTCACCAGATGTCGGTAACAACCCAAGGAATCCATACATACAAAGAAAACAAAACAAATAAGTTCAGAAATTAAGTTCTGTGTAATAAAATGCAATGACACAGGGAAAAAGTATTGAACACATGAAGAAAGGCAGGTGCAAAAAGGCATGGAAAGCCAAGACACCAGAAATCTATCAGTAATTAGAAAGCAATCCTGCCCCTAGTGGAAATTAATATTAGCTGCTTCAGTCCCAACACCTACAGTACCACGATGATGAAGATGAAACAAGGCTGGACATTTCAGCAAAACAATGATCCCAAACACAGCCAAGGAAACTCTCGATTGGTTTCAGAAAAAGAAAGTAAAGCTGCTAGAACGGCTCAGCTTCAAGATGCCTCCTGTATGGAGAAACTAGTCGCATGCATGGCTCAGGTGTGATTTTGGCCCATTCTTCCACAATCCACACAAACAGTCTTCAAATCTTGATGGTTCTGTGGGCCTCTTCTATGAACTCGGATCTTTAGTTCTTTCCATAGATTTTCTATTGGATTCAAGTCAGGTGATTGTCTGGGCCATTCTAGCAGCTTTAGGAAACTCTCGATTGGTTTCAGAAAAAGAAAGTAAAGCTGCTAGAACGGCTAGCCAATCATCTGACTTGAATCCAATAGAAAATAAGAACTACAGATCAGAGTTCATAGAGAAGAGGCCCACAGAATCTTCAAGATTTGAAGACTGTTTGTGTGGAAGAATGGGCCAAGATCACACCTGAGCAATGCATGCCACTAGTTTCTCCATACAGGAGGCGTCTTGAAGCTGTCATTACCAACTAAGGCTTTTGTACGAAGTATTCAATACATTTCAGTAGTTCAATACTTTTTCCCTGTGTCATTCCATTTTATTACACAGAAATTAATTTCTGAACTTATTAGTTTTGTTTTCTTTGTATGTATGGATTCCTTGGGTTGTTACCAACATCTGGTGAAAATTTCATGTCAACAGCACTTTTAGAAACATATTTACTGAGAAAAATTGTAACGCGTTCAATACTTATTTTACCCGCTGTACATGTAATACTAATATAATACAAGTAAAAAAATTTACATTTAAAACTGATAATTATTTACTTATATTAAAATATATATACAAAATATATATCTTGTGTGTGTGTGTGTGTGTGTGTGTGTGTGTGTATACACACATACACAACCTGACATATACAGATAAATGGCATGTTTATGTGTAAAGTGATAATATATTACATACACATAATTATTTAGATATTTATATTATTTTAAAATATATATTTTAATATATACAAATGTATGTATAATTACATAGCAAATGCATATCATATCTAATTAGAAGTTGCGTGTCTCTGTATATTTTTGTACCGCTATCCCAGCATGCATACCTGTAGTGGTGTACGAGTCCTGTATGGAGATCTCTCTGCTCAGGTCTGTTTTGGTGATGGAGGAACAGGGGCTCAGGCATTGGTAGAAACTCCCCAAGAACACCGAAAAACACAGAACCACCACCTGCACACATACAGCAGTGCTTCTGTTAGTGCTCATTCTCACACACACACACACACACACACACACACACACACACACACAGCTGAACGT